AAAAAAAAAAAAAAAAAAAACAATAAAAATAACAATAGAGCAATAAAAATTATATAGACAAAGATCTTGCCCCAAAATAAGAGAAGGCGGTCCACTCCCCGATACCGGGATTCCGACCTTGTCGTTGGGGAAGGTGTGGGGAGACCCCGGACGGAGACGTCCTGTGGGTGCCCGAACCAGAGTCCGCACAGTCACGGGACAAACAGGAAGCATTCTCCTCAGGCAGGCAGGCCAGGCGCCGGGCACCAGAGCCCCTGCGTCTCATGTCACAAGGGCCCCCGCCGGGACCGCCCTCACCTAGAGTCTGCAGCCGGACGTCCCCACACCACACTCTGGCAGGATGGAGGAGGAGGAGGCGGGGAAGACCCAGAATTAGCAACAGAAGCCCTGACCGCCTCTGGTCAACCTAACATCAGGAGGGCCCAAAGGAGAGACGCCCCCCAGGGCGCGGCCCTCCCCTGCACAACAGGTGAGCAAGGTTGACCTAGAGCTGCAGGACCATGAACGGAGGCTGGCACACCTCTCACATCCCACGCCAACTCTGATCTACCAAGGTAAGTATGGGCCTTGTCACTGGGAGATGGAAGACGTCCCCAGTGCCAGACACCAGTCTGGGAATTGTAGCACAGCTTGGGCTCCCAGTACCAAGAAACTGTCACCACGGGGCTATTACAGTTGACCGGGGCCGGGTGTGGTGGCTCACGCCTGTCATCCCAGCACTTTGGGAGGCTGAGGTGGGAGGACTGCTTGAGCCCAGTTCAAAACCAGCCAGGGCAACATAGCGAGACCCTGTGTCTAAAATAAAATAAAAATAATTTAAAAATTAGCTGGGTGTGGAGGCACACATGTGTACTCCCAGCTACTTGGGAAGCTGAGGCAGGAGGATGGTTGAGTCCAGTTCAAGACCAGCCTGGGCAACATAATGAGACCTCAGCTCTACAAAAAAAAAAATTTTTTATTTTTAGTTGGAGTCTCACTCTGACACCCAGACAGGAGTGCAGTGGCTGCTCCCAGCC